TATCTTTAGGATTCTATGCCAACAGAACTCATAGGATCATTACTCAACTTCTTCCATCTTACTTATTAAATAATTAGGATGGTGTTTAGGCTCTCCTTAGCGCATGTTTGAGAAGCCTAAGAACTATCCAAATCCACTTGTGCACTTTAAAAAAAAACATATATATATATATATAAAATATAGTACAAGATGAACCAATTTTTACCATTATTTGTTGTTGTACCTTTTTCTTTTCGTGTATGTTTCTTTTTTAAATGTTAAGGTAAACCTTTTTCTTTTTTTACTTAATAAAATATTAGGTGGAACCCTAGTGGGAACTATATGTATGACATCATGGGTGACGTTTCTCATTGGTCACATAGATTTAAGGAACAAATATAGTAAAGAATGAAACAGAGAATCCTCATGTGATCACATGTCTCCCAGGGTAGCCATATTAATTATTTTTGAGAAATTTACCCTAATTAACTAACTGTTGTTAAGAAATTTACCCGTAATATTTTTTAACTTTTCAGAATTAAAAATGGGAATAGTTTATATAGAGCCAAGGCTCTAAATGATCAAATTTGAGCCTACATCAAAAATTTCACTAGAAGTGGTTGTTTTGATGCTCAAATATCTTCAAATTGATCATCTCGACATTAAGATGCATGGACATGAGAAAAAAATGGATTGCAAGTTTTGAAAATAGTGTATTTTGTAATGAATTTTTAGACCGTAAATTTTCAAGATTTTCATAGATATTTCGATCTACACTATTTTTGAAGCTTTAAACTTTATAAATAAATATAAAAATATATTTTAAGGCTATCACAGAGATTTCCAATATTGAAACCACATTTCTTGACACTATTTGAAGGTAGACTCTAATTTTATTGTTTAGAGCCTAGGTCCTATACAAACAGCACCGATTAAAAATTTATCCCTTATATGGTGTAATTTACGTTGAAGGCCCTATTTTTCAACTTTCCCAAAATATAATTATTTCGAAATTTTAAAATCCAAACCAAAACTATTAACATAGTGGTTCAGAAATTGAAATTCCATACCAATTTTTTGTGAACCAACTAGATTGGATTTTAAAAATCCGAACTGATTTATTTATGTTTTGGGTTTGGTTTTTCAAAATCGAAACCCCAATCCTCACCTACTTGACTCGATTCCAACGCCCCCTCTCGAACAAGTAATGTTAATCAACAATGGTGTTAATTTGCCCAAAAGTGTTGAGTTTAGCTCCATGTGGCTCTGTGAAGTTGGATGCCAGTCACTCTATTCACCTTTTATGATGATTTTTCGTCCTGTTATCATTTTCTTAAGCGCGTGGTTTCTGATGAGTTGCAACCTTAAGCAATCCAATTAAGGTTAAATTTTATCATAACATGTAATTTTGTTGTAAAAAATTATTAAGATTATCTGAAAATCTATTTTCATATCTTATTATAAAATCTAATCTCCAAAAAATAGCTATAATCAAGTAGATCTATAGCATATGAAAATCTTGAGAATGAACGATCTAGATAATATGTTGCAAGATTCATTACTTCTAGAACTTAAAATCTTTATTTTTTTTTCATATTCATATCTCTCGATGTCAAGATGACTAATTAGAGGGTTTTTCAATATTAAAACAACCTTTTCCAATGGATTTTTTAGACGCATCTTTAATTCTAC